CTCACCAACTCTACTAGGGTCGAAAAAACATTGGTTACAGGTTTGGTATATGATTGGTTCGACGATATATTTCCAAATCATCTAACGCGAATTGGAACAAGTGACAACGATGTTAATTCGAGTTCCATTCAAAGTAATGTTGAACTCGATGAGTACAAGATTCTCAACCACAACAGTGGAATTCTAAAATTCGAGGGCTGCATTTCTGCGGAACGGAAAACATATTCCAAAGTCACAATTGATGAAATCCAGTTTCACGTCGGTGATGCGGTCGAAGTGTATTCCGATGCTGAGGGAGAACGCTGGATTTGTTACATAACCGAATTTCAGAAGAGCGAAGACTCTGGAACATTTCGTTTACTTTGGTTATATACTCGTGAGCAATCTGTTCTCGGTAATTTAAATCGAGATTTTGGATCAAGACATGAAAAAGAAATTTTTTTTACGACTCACTGTGAGTGCAATTTCGTTCTGATGGGAATTAATAATATAAGGCGCAAAGTGAAAGTCTATTTCGACGAACCAGAATATTTGGATCTAAGCGGTGATCATATGTACTTCTGTCGATATTATTATCGACACACGGAATGTGCCTTCTTGAGATTTAATATGGAAATGCTTGCAAAAAAAAATGGAAATTTTCCTTGTGGATGTACAAATCTCAAGATGAGTGATCTCGAAAACTTTATGCGATTATATGACGCGGGCGACTGTGTCTTAATTAGTCCTCTCGAAGGTGACCCTCTGGATTTATATACTGTATGTAGTGTCGAAAGTATTAATTCCGAAAAGGGGACTATCAATTTAAGACGATTTTATAGAATGAATGAAGTCACCGAAAAGCCACGAGATTCAAACAAAATCCACGAAGTCTTATACTCAGATTACACTTTTGAATTTAACGATTTTCAAAAGATAGTCCGGAAATGTCATGTGGAATTCATTGACAAAGAGTGTCCATTACCGGTCAATCTTCAGCACAAGGGTGCTGGAAATCAATTCTTTTTTTGGAGAAAATATTTTCGAGACTCGAGGGCGATCTGCCCCATAGTCGATTCTGAATGGTTCACTTCAAAGTTCCCTAGTTACTACAAAAAAACTGGACATATCGCTAGACTTGATGGATTGGATCTGTTTTGCGGAGGTGGTTCATTAGGTCGTGGGATGGAAGATGCCGGAATTGTGCATTGTCGATGGGCAATCGACAAGGATGTAGCAGCCCTGAGGACATATCGTCATAACGTGCAAGGAGGTCATATTAATGTCATTAATGAGGACGTCAATAAAATTCTTGAAGGTGTGATCCTTGGCACCGGTAATATTCAGGGTGCCCCGGATAAAGGAGAGGTAGGCATTATTCTTGCGGGCCCGCCTTGCCAAGGATTCAGTATACTGAACAGGGAGAGAACTAACGTGAAAAGTGTGAATAATAACTCTATGATCGCATCCGTCGCCTCTTTCATAGATTATTACAAACCTCGTTACATCTTGATAGAGAATGTTACGGAAATTATAAAACATCAAGTATTTGTGAGGCTATTGGGATTTTTACTCGAACTCAAATATCAAATTAGATTCAACATCGTATCCGCCGCTCATGTGGGATGCGCCCAGAAACGTTATAGGGTATTTTTGTGGGGAGCTCTTATGGATGAGGTATTGCCTGAGATGCCTCCAATGACACATAGTTACAAAGATTGCAGTAAATTCAGGGAACTTAAGACATTTCAAATGGGAGGCTTCAAGTATGAGAAAACCTCTAGTTTCCCGATGATATCGATAAGAGACTTAATTGGTGACCTTCCTCGTATAGACACAGGAATCTATTGGCATCCCGAGTATCCGGATCATCATACACTTGTCAGAAGCACGAGGTTAAGAGAAATCCTTCGTAGGATTCCTCCATGCTCACATTATCACCTTGCTCGCGAACTAGGTTTGATACCCGATATATATATGCATGAGGTGTACGAGAAAAAAAAAATTATATTTCCCAAAGCTAAATATCTACAGAGGGTAGATGGCGACGACATATTTTCGACTATTGTTACCGGGATGTCAGGTGATGCTTGTTGTCCCAAAGCCGTCCATTATGAAGAACCCCGTATGTTATCTGTAAGAGAAGCAGCTAGGGCACAAGGATTCTTGGACTCGGATATAATTTGCGGTACCCTGAGGGATCAATACCGCATAATAGGAAATTCCGTACCTAGAAATATTGCTTTTACCCTCGGAGTACAACTCGTTCGCGCACTGACAGATCCTCGACACAATGCAAATCTATTAATGACCGACTAGACTAAGCTTATCGGAATCATTCCAATAATGATTTCAAATGCATGCTCATTATTTAAACCGCATTTGCAAAAAAAACAATTATTATTAAATATCAATAATTATTACGTATGTCACGAAAATTTCAATAGCTAATTGGATTTCATTGGTGGAATTTTTCGTTTCTGTTTTATTTTTGTGATTTTGCACGTTCTAAAAACAAAACCAAATAATTTATAGAATTGACCTATATTCCGAAAAAAACTGTAGTTATCTATCCTAATAAAGAGAATCGAGAAAGAAAGAGAGCGAGGCCCAAACGACGAGCCAGTCGCTACTCTGTCCTAGACGCGATACCGCGTCGATTGACGGCTTAACTTGGTCGATAAGAGGCTTTAGATTCGACGATTTTGTCCGGATCACAAGTCAAATTTCGTCTGGTGTGTCCCTTTAAGCAGATCACGTGTTAAAGTCGATTCTTCCAACGATGGATTTTATATTTCCTTATACTGTATACATGCTTCAAAGATTACAAAACTAATAAAGGTCCTTAAAATCTCAAAAATTCCAAAGATATTAAAAATCTGCAAACATGATATCAGTATTTCTACCATCACTTTCTTCATAACACTATTATATTGTTATTTATTTTATCCCACAATGGTGAGTCATTGTACAGACGGGAGACACGAAATTGGGATGATTACAAAATCGATATTCAATATGTACAAGAAAACCTTATATCATAACAATGAAGCATCAAATATGTATCTTTGTGATTGCTTGTAATAATAAAAGCTTTGGCCTTTTGTTTTGACTATTTATTTTAAAAAAAAAAAAACAAACGAAAATTTATGTTAGATGCAAAGAATGGGTTGCAAAAAAGATCTTATGATCAAAGAACATCCCAATAAAAATACATAAAGATAAAGGCATGTATTTTACAAAAATTGCTGAATGATTGGATAATCCATAATAGCAGTTAAAAACTATCTTAATAGATTAAAATCAACCAGTTTTATCAATTATATAAAAAGAAGAAATAGTGGGCATAAATCAATTATCAATGATTTTTTGTATTCAAATATACTTTTAATTAATAAAAAATTTTTTCAAAATAATTAAAATAAGTAAGAACGTATAAAAATTAAATCAAAGATAATTAAAATATATTTTATAAATTAAACATAAGTATCAATTAAAATTCGAATTTGATATTATAAAGATGAACTTTATAATCAAGATTGTATACAAGCAATTATAAAAATCAATTATATAATTTGTATAAATAAATAAACAAGATTTTATATTATTTAATTTACACAATATTTATGTAAATAGAAAAAAAGTGTGATAATCTTATTTTAAACACTATTTATTCAATAACTTTGGTCTCTGAAATTTTTTTACAAAGGATAATATATTGATTTATAAGTACAAACTTGTAAATAAATTGAAATCTAAATTTAGAATTATGTTTAAAAAGGGATTAACCTAATTTTGAAACCTTAATCAATTGAAAATAACTGAAAAAAAAATTGAAAATTGAAATTATAAAAACAAATTAATTTTGATCAAAAAAATTATTATTGTAATATAAAAAAATATTATATTTAATAAAATTTTAAATTATATCAATATATATTAAGTATATTGAATTTATTACTAGTGATTTTAGTAATCTAATGCTTAGCACACAACAAAATATTGAAAAAGCACAAAACAAAATATTGAAAAAGCACAAAACAAAATATTGAAAAAGCACAAAACAAAAAAAATCCATATCATGATCAGAAAATTAAAGTTTAAAAATTTAATATAAGAGACAAAGTTTTATTATATAAATCAACAAAAACAAATATACATGGTGATAAATTAGGGAAAAATTAATATAACCATATTATATTCACAACATTATTGTACCAGAAGCATACAAATTAAGGAACATAAAGGATAAAGTACTCAAAAGGGCAGTAAACATCAATTGATTGAAAAAATATTATAAATAACCAATTTGGGAGCCACGCAACATTATATAATTATAGAACATTATATATTATAGAAAAAATAAACCCATTATTAGTATTGATTATTACTATATATATATTTATATTTGTATTAAATGACTTATTAAATCTATATACATAGCTGTGAGGTTTCCTAGAAATGTAAGAAACCTATAACATTTATCTTTAAGCTGGTCAGCTACATAACACTAAGTGCAGAGTAGTGTTTAAAGCTATAGCATTCAAAAAAGTCACTTATTTTGATTATTTTCTTCTTTATTATGTCATATTTTATTTATTTAATTATAGTTTCTCTTATCTTGATTTATTAATTTATTTTCTTTGGATATGACAATATAGTTAAATAGTCATGACAATTATGTGTAAGTGTTGGAATATATAATATCTATTAGGAATAAAAAATGCAAACATGGAATAAGGGCTCTCAGAGTATCACCTCATATCACAAGTCACTGATCCACAAAGCATCACACTAACAACAAAATATTTCAGTATCAAGTGACAAAAAGAATTTTTATTGAAAAACAAATAGCAAAAATTAATTATTTGATTTCTTTTTTGAAAAAGCACATCATTTAAAACTTGAGAATTAGAATCATAAGTTGGTCTTTGACCCAGATATAAGAATTGCCAAGCTAGAGAAATTCTTCAGGAAGAAGGACTAATTAAACTTATCTGCCACCCACTAATGGCTCTAGAGAAAAGTAAATTTGGAAGAATATTTGCTTAAACTAGTTGAACCCACAATTCTTCTATAGGAAAATAAAGTATTTGAATTTCTGAGTACACTGCCAACCATTGAGAAAGCTCTAAAGTCAACTGTCTTAAGTTTACTCGAATATGTAAAGTTATCCATTGCTATATTAGACTATAGTTTCTTGGCTATAATAATAAAATTGTCGCAAGGTATCTCTCTAAGCTCTAAATTGCTTATAAAGTATGGAAAGTTTAATCTGAAGGGAGGTCAATTCTTTTTCATATTTTGAACAATGACAGCAAAGTAAAGCCCGACCAAGAAATTTCATTTTCTTTTTCATCAATATGATGCAACTAACCACTGAATTAGAATATTCAATAGTACACTCAATCTATTGATACAGGACATTTTCAAGAAAATTGAGATATAGAATATAGAAATTAGTAATGAATTATTCATCAAGCCTATCTATTCAATATTAAACAGGAACTGATGATCAATTGGACAAGCTATTATATAAAATCAAATTGAGATAGATTGATCATCAATAGTACAACCTTAAAATATATTTAAGAAATATCTACATGGTGTCAACCTATCCAATTCATCTCTTAGAAATCAGATAGAAATGGAGAACTATTGCAGGGAAACACCAAGTTAGAGTCTAACATGATATGCAAAAGTTCCTAGTTTGGACAACAATTTAACAAGAGGTTTATCACTTATGATTAGGCGAAAGAGGCAATTTAATATTTTCGGGATCAAGATAATTTTATTGTTTGATAAAATCCTGAGAATTCTTGGAAGGGAGAATTTATGCCTTTAAATACATAAATGAGTTATACAAAATATGGAAATAGAAAAAATAATAATAATAAGAAATGATAATTAAAATGAATCTATTAGTTTCGCTAGACTCTTAAACTATATTATAATAAACAGAATTTAAGTATCTATCAAAATAATAGTACAGTTCAATATGGTAGAATGGGTGAAGTTTCTAGGGTCATATTTGTTCTATTTGTCCGATTTGTCCAGGACAAACAATGTCAATCTGTAATACAAAGAATATTCTCGAAGATCTGTGACCCAGGTGATAAATTAAACTTGTTAACTGGATAATTGATACTGAAATTGTCACAAGGCTTCAGGATCTTCATAGGATAAATTTCTTACAATTTACAATTTTCCCTTACTAATTTGTGAGTTCCACGAGTTATAAATTAATTAAGGTCTAAAAATCAGAAGTTTTCAACTTGGCAATATCCCTGAGAGTTGTTTTCTTTGTTCTCATGATTTGTTGTAATCCCACATGTTCAAGAGATAGTACATTCTCATGCAAGCCTTCTTGTAGTATGGGGTAATTTGATCACACAAATATCCATGTTGATGGCGATTTACTACTTGATCCAATAATTCGTCCAAGAGATATGCATATGCCAAGGTCATCTGATGGTTTCTACTTCTTGTAGCACATTGGAGGAATCTATACCTGATCATTATTTGCAATTCAGGGGGCTGTGTAATATCCAGATTTAATAGATTAAGGTCCACATGTTCAGGAGTAGTCTCTAGTAGATCATCCATAATTTGATCAACAATGGTACTCATTTTTGAAGTTGTTGCACGTTTTCGAAGTCTTGAAATGTTTTTGATGGGGAATAGAGAAAACCTTGTCTATTTATATTCGTCAAAACTTGTTTTGTGTTTCTGATCTCCAAGTATTTGTGTAATATATTTAAGTGTCCTGTTTTGTATTTTTGGAATCATATTCCTTGCCAATCATCAGTTTTTTTCATCATGCCAAGAGTCCATAAGCAAAAACATATTACTGCCTCTTCTTCTTCCTCCAGGGGAACCAGAAGCTCCCAATCCATTGATAATCGTGACTTGTTTTGGGAAAACTTTTCTCTCAAAGAGGAGGTAGAAAGCTTGTGTCGCCGGTTTGGTAGGTTCCAAGAAACCAACTCTGTTTTGTGTGACAAGTATGAGAGCCTTTCAGTAGACCTTCAAGACATGACTGGTCGCCACTACTACACACATATGGAACTTGAGAGGGAGAACAATAATCTTTGCTGGCGAATTCATTCACTGAAGCAACTGCTTCAGTTACAGGATATGGAAGCTTCTCCTCCATTGGACAGGTCTTTTTCTCATATGCCCTACTAAGTCTGTTTATTTATATGTGTTTGATTACTAAGACCATATAGTAGCAGTTGTGATGCTTTCTGGGCCAGCTGGGATAGTAATATAGTTGCTTTCTGGGCCGTCACTATCCTACTACATTTTTTTTTCTATTT